AGGGGGGGGGGGTGAATGGTGAAGACTGTAGAATTTCAGTATTAATAAAGCTGTAGCATAATCAGCAGCAGCATAAACATAATCATCATCATATTCATCATCATCATCATCATCATCATCATCATCATCATCATCATCCTCATCATCATCATCATCATCATCATCAACAACAACATCATCATCATCACCATTATCATCATCATGCAATCGATTCAAATGTATTCTTCAGAATGATCAAAGCATAGATTATTTCTAATGGAAGACAAAACCTAAGTGAGTTAGATTGTCTTGTTGTTTGTATATTTATTTGTTTTACTGTTGTTGTTGTTGTTCCTCTTGATTTCATTTTTTAAGGTGGGGCGGGAAGGGCGGAGGTGGTAGGATGAGGACTTAAGGGAGGTGGGGGGGGTTCTTTTTAGTTTTAGTAATAGTTTTACGGCATTTGCAACATAATAAGATCATATAAGTGCGGAAAAATAAATGTGTTACAAGAGAGTAACATACATTTAAAAAATGGAAAAATAAGGACGATAGATATTTGATAGGAAAGAAGGCGCAAACCACATCAGAGCACCTACCAACCACCCACTGGGATTCTTTGAAACCTTGATATTATTATTCTTCAGTGGAAATGATCACAAGCACATGTCATCTCTTTTTTTCAAACCATCATTTTGTTGGGATTTTGTTTTCTTTTTTTTATATTATATTTATTTTAGTAAGGGTTTTACAGCACTTGCAATGCAAGCAGATCCCACAAGAGCCAAAGACTAGAGGAGTTACAATTAACTAACATACAAATGAAAGAGGCACAAGAGAGACGGGAACAACTAATTATGTTTGTAACCGCAAGGAACGTTTTCGATTATCTGATCAATTATTGGGAAGGGAGAATTGCACATGTTTCCACCTGGAACTGATAAATAACTTTGTAGAATTGTTTTTGCACTTTTTCAAAGATAAAATTGAAAGAATAAGAACTGATTTAGACTCTGATATGTTAGATGTAAATACAAATATAGTTGTTTATGAAAATCTTGCAATTATGAACAAGTCAACACTGAGTGAATTTAAAGTGGTATTAGAGAAAGATGGCATTAAGTATATCAAAGAGTCCCCCGCTAAACATGCGACTTAGACCCAATACCCACTTCATTGTTAGTTACGTGCATTGAAGATCTCGCAACATATGTTAAACATTTTATAAATATGTCACTCACCCCTGGAATCGTACCTGATCTTTTCAAACAAGCCATTGTAAAACCTTTACTTATATAACAAGGTCTTGATGAAAACGACCTGAGAAATTTTAGGCCAGTTTCCAATCTTAACTTTTTGTCAAAAATCCAGGAGAAAATAGCTTGGTGTCAAGTTCAACAACATTTAAAAGCTAATGACATAGAAGAACCTTTTCAATCAAAGCCACCACAGTACAAAAACCGCTCTTATAAAGGTATCATCACAGATGTTTTAAATGAAATCGATTTATAAAGAAGTCTGTGTTTTGGTTCTACTTAATTTGTCAACGGCGTTCGCTATCATCAACCACGAAATTGTACTAGAGAGATTGGAAAAGTTATTTTTACTATCAGGTACTGTTCTGTACAGCAGTGAAACCAACCAGGAGCACGGGGGAGGGGTAAGCCACGGGAAACATGAAGGAGATGCGTGGAAAGGGACACGACAGAGATGAAGCTCACTTGGAACGAGCTGGGAAGGATGGCTCAGGACAGATATAAATGGAAGGAGCTTGTATGTGGCCTATACCCTGCCAGGGGTGAAAGGCATTGATGATGATGACTGTTCTAATGTGGTTTAAATCATATCTAGAAAATAGATTTACGTCAGTGAAAATTGGCAATGATGTGTCAGATATGTTACCTCTAAAGTATTGAGTTCTTCGGGGTTCAGTCATTGCTCCTGTCATCTCTACAATATACACGCAAAGTCTGTCATCAGTAATTTCTTTATATGCCCTCAATTATAATCTTTATGCAGACGACACACAGCTGTATGGATTCACTACTACTGACAATGTACACAATCTCATAGATAGAATCGACAGATGTATCAATGATGCTAGTAAATGGATGCCCAAAAACAAATTAACATTAAATGAGGATAAGACCGAAATATTATTTATTCACAGCAGTGTACGCAATGAAATCGACAATAAACATCAAAGGCAATGAAATATCAGCCCAAACTCATATAAAAAAATCTAGGTGTAGTGCTAAATCAAGATATGTCAAAGAAATCTCATGTATCCAATCTGTGTAAAAATATATATCTCTAACTGAAGAAAATAGGGAGCATCAGAAATTAATATCTATATGTTGATATCACCAAAACTTTACTAACATCACATTATTATAAATCATATGGCCAAAGCTCTTTTTCATGTTTCTCCACCTGTTTGGAATAGGCTTCCAAAAACTATCAGAGAAGCAGAAAATCTAGAAATTTTTTAAGAAAAGACTAAATACATTTCTATTTTCATCATATTTCGATTAGACAGAATCCATACAAGCTGTAGGTCCTCGTGACTTTGTATGTGCGTATATTCGTATGTGTGTATGTATGTGTGTAATGTGTTTGTGGGTGCGTGCATGCGTGAGTATATGTGTGCACGCGTGTGTAATACTATAATACGCCTATATAAAAATTGATTTGTAATTCCTGAATATGTTTCATGTTAAGCGCATAGAGCATTGCATACGTGGATATACGCTATACAAATGCAATCCATTATTATTATTATTATTATTATTATTATTATTATTATTATTATTATTATTATAATTATTATTATTATAATTATTATTATCAATCATTATTTGTAAGGAAAGGAGGTGCTCAACTACACCAAGGGCACCAGCCAGCCACCCACCCACCCACCCACCTATCTTCGTGTATTACACTCACCGCCAGGTGGCCTGTCGCCCAGTTCCCCACGAACAAGGGAATGTGGGATAGCAGGAAGCACACCACGATGACCAGGTGAATCAGGCCGATTGACACGCGATACGAGTTCCTTTTGAAGCGATCTTTCTGAAACGTTGCCATAGTAACGGGTTTGAGGGTTGTTACGGCTAAGCCATGTGTATTTCATATACATGCTTATAAATGTTCTCCTATAATTTATACAGAGATGCTTTTTCTTTTCCTTACTCACTCACACCGAATCATACACCAAACACACACACACACACACACACACACACACACACACACACACACACACACACATATATATATATATATATATATATATATATATATATATATATATATATATATACACAAAACAAACACACACAGAAACAAACAACATACGCACACTAACACCCACAAACACTCCACACAAACACACAAACACACTCACACACACACAAATACACAGTCCCACACACACACACACACACACACACAAACACACACACAAAAACACACACACACACACAAACTTACTTCTGTTTCCAAGTACTTGTCTTCCGTGGAAGCGTCGGCATCACGTTCGATATCCATGTCTCAGCAAATGATGCCACCGTCTATAAATAGACCTCTGTCCAATAGCCGCACCTCACATTCCCTGCATAGGGGCCGTACTCAATTATCTAATGGGTGCGTAATGTTCAACTCATTTCTCATCCTCCTTTAAAAAAATACTTTTAACAAACGAAAAAAACAATGATAAAATAAATATCTCAAGTCAAAGCGGATTCACGCGCTCGACAATTCTTTGGCCAATGGATTTACTGGTATCATTTCAAAGCCTGTTCATTTGCGAGTGAAGGAGGTGGAAGTCACCTGGTGTCAGAGATAAAATTAGCGAATATATGGCCACTAAAGTTTAGTAACTTCGAAAGCTAGATTGTCCCCGGAATCTGAAAATGTACATTTTGTGTACACTGACTGACTTTTTTTCTGTAAAGTCCGCTCGGTAATGGTTTTTTTAATGGCCATAAAAGGTGTTAATTCAAAAGAAAAAAGAGTTACAAGTTATCCAACGCCGCTTTCTTTGATTTAATTACTTTGAAGAATGCCTGATTTTTACCCCGATTCCATACAAATGGATTTTGACATTTTCCCTTCAGCTTAAAGGAAAGACAAGATCTTCATTTTATAATTTTAATTATATATATTTCTCGTGTTATAATAATTATGTCTTCATCGACGCAATTTCATTTATTAGGAGACAGGATACTTAGACCAACTGGAAGTGAGAGGGGTACGACACTCAGGAAGACAGAGGCAGATAATCGTAAGAAAAATCTCGTCACACTTGAACTGAATTCACGTATTTGAGGACGAAGCGACAAACTTTGTTTTTGTTTGTTTGGGTTTTTTGGTTGTTCTGTTAAGAGTTTTAAAGCCCTCGCAACTGCATATGGTCATATGAGTGCACGGGACGCTTTAGACATGTTCAATTTGGTAAGATCTAATTTTTAATTTTGCCCGGGTAGCGACCGAAGCTTCCTCTTATCGATTTTGGACCACCAAGGAATCTTAAACGTTCATAACTTGCACACGGGACCTACAAGATTTTTCGCCCTTATCCAAGAAGACTAGGTGTTAGATCTTACCTTTCCTAAGTTCTGTAGTGTGCTGAAAAACAGCAGTAGGGAGCCTAGGGGTAGCAGTAGAAAGGCTGCAGAAAGAGTCAGAGGACGGAAGGAGGGGGCAAAGTGGGTTGAGGATGGGGTCAGAAAGTGGAGACGAAAGCAGACCTCTGATCATGGTAAGAGCACAGATAAGGGGGGTGGGGGTGGGGTGTAAGGAGAACATTTTAGAGTAGAAACGTTTTCGTCGTTGTCAGGATTCCGACCCTGGCACTATTGAATGAAAGGTGAACACAGTAGCCTCCGGACCACGAGAAGCTCCAGGATCGAACTGCTAAAGTACAGACATCGGTAAAAAATATGTCTGGGGGAATGACAAAAACAAATTAAAAGACTTTCTAACAATGTTAGCCTTTCATTTTGTTCTAACATGGTCCGGGGATCACACACATACACTTTCTCTCATACACAAACACACACATACATACACACACGC